GATGCCCTTCCAAAGGAGGGCCATTTTAGAACAGAGGGAATGGTCTGTTGACTTTGTTTTAAATGATGTGGCACCATGCATTTCCCTTGGGCCTGCTGGGATGTTAAATGATGAGCCCAGCAGGTAAGAGGCCCTTGATAGTGCCCATAGCTTGGTGCAATCAAGGTGAAGTAGATGGAGAGTTTCTGATGCTGATTAAACACTGAATGCACAACATGTGGCCATTTATAAACTCATTTCTCATTTCATACATGTTACTGTGCTTTGCCTTCCTAGCTGCATTTGTTGGCCCAGTATGTCTTTGTTTATTAGATGCTGAAACAAAGTGCTTTAGTGACTGTTAGACAAATATTGGCGCAGGGACCTGACTCTAGTCATCTGCCTTCCGATTCCATGCTGTTCTTACCCCATCACCCTGCTGCCACTCCTGAGATGTAGTGGAGGCAGCCTTGGCCACTCTCTTCTTCCTGTGGATTGTAGTAGATCGCCCTTAGTCTTTAAATGTTGAGGACTCAGCTGGGTGTGGCGGCTCACACCTGTAATGCCAGCACTTGGGGAAGCCGAGGCAGATGGACAACTTGAGGTCAGGAGTTCAAGACCAGCCTGGCCAACATGGAGAAACCCTGTCTCTACTAAAAATACAAAAAATATTAGCTGGCATTGTGGCAGGTGCCTATAATTCCAGCTACTTAGGAGGCTGAGGCAGGAGAATTGCTTGAAACTGGGGAGTGGAGGTTGTGGTGAGCCAAGATTGTGCCACTGCACTCCAGCCTGGACAACAGAGTGAGACTCCATCTCAAAACAAAAGTTGAGGACTCATGGTCCACATTGTAATCATCGTTTTCTTCTCTGTGTAAAACTTGCAGAATCAAAGGCTCACCTTTGGCTCTCCATTCCCTGACTACAGGAAAACCCAAACACATTCTTTATTCTTTTCCACAAAAATAAAAAAGAAAATAAAAGCTAAAAAGATTTTATTTTCTTTCTAGATGTAAACTGAAAATTCTAATCCCCTGAACCAATTAAATGGACCCCTCCTGTTGGCCAAAGGCATTCCTAAGTTCACCTGAAAAACTAGTTCAGGCCATGATGGGAAGTGGGGATTGTACATACCTGATTATAACCTCCTTCCTTTGAAATTCAGGCACAGCAGACCAGCATTTAACATTAAAACAGTCCTTAAGACTGACAAAGCAGACTCTTTGTAGCAATAAGATACTGACATGACAGATAGCAGGCTCTAAAAGATCTCAGGTTGGGTGTGGTGGCTCATGCCTGTAATCCTAATACTTTGGGAGGTTGAGGCAATTGGATTGCCTGAGCTCAGGAGTTCGAGACGAGTCTGGGCAATATGGCGAAACCCTGTCTCTATTAAAAAATACAAAAATTGGCTGGGCATGGTGGTACACACCTGTAATCCTAGCTACTCAGGAGGCTGAGGCAAGAAAATAGCTTGAACCCAGGAGACAGAGGTTGCAGTGAGCTGAGATGGCACCACTGCACTCCAGCCTGGGTAACAGCGTAAGACTCCAAACGAAATAAAAAATAAAAATAAAAGAAGTCAAAGTATTTTACTCCAAAATATATTTCTTTGACATATTTTGAAATGGCCAAGCAAAGCTGTTGCTTGTAGGGAAAAAAAAATCTATATTCTGTAGAGAATTCTCTTCCCTTTCCACATCTTTTTGCTGATCTAGGAGAGAATTAACTTCCTTTACACTAAGGTGTGAAGATAAAGGAAGATGTGCTACAAGGTAAGTAAATAAGTCTGTGGGGAAAGTTATTGCCAAATTGTAAGAACAATTCAACAATGATATTAATTTTCCCTCTGAAATACTGCAAATTAAAGGCTGATCCTAAAAATAATTGAGGCTATGTCTCAAATTCTTTTAAGGCTTTGAATAAACCTAAACTTCGTAATAAACTTAGTTCCTTTCTTCACGGAAGAACATTTCTACACTGTAATTATTGTTTAAATCATACATATGTAAAACTGCTTTAGAATCAGATTATTAAACCAAAAAATTCTAAACTTAAAAAAAATGTAACATAGGGAAAACTGCCAACAGTAGTGTTTTGATAGCAAAAAATAAACAAAAGAGTAGTGCCACCATAAATCCATGAAAATGAGCGCTCTGTTTTAGAGTCAAACAAGCATGAGAATCTAGAAGAAAGTCTATGTAAATCAAAAAGTGTCTCAGATAGGTCTCAATCAATTTAGAAGTTTATTTTGCCAAAGTTAAGGACATGCCTGTGACATAGCCTCAGAAGGTCTTGAGGACATGTGCCCGGGGTGGTCAGGCTACAGCTTGGTTTTATACGTTGTAGGGAGACATAAGATGCCAATCAATTCATGTACGATGTATATTGGTTTGGTCCAGGACAACCCAAAGGTGGTGGGGGTGGGGGGTTGTTTCCAGGTCATAGGTGGATTCCAAGATTTCCTGATCAGCAATTGGTTGAAAGAGTTTATTTAAAAATCTGTAATCAATTGAGTTAAGGAATTGTTTGAGTTAAGATAAGGGGTTGTGGAGATGAAGGCTTTATTATGCAGATGAAGCTCCTTTAAATGTTTCTTATCAGACTTAAAAAGGTGTCAGGCTTGGACATAGTGGTTCACACCTGTAATCCCAGCACTTTGGGAAACTGAGGCAGGCAGATCACCTGAGGTCAGGAGTTCGAGACCAGCCTGGCCAACATGGTGAAACCCTATTTCTACTTAAAAAATACAAAAATTAGCCAGTGTGGTAGTGGACACCTGTATCCCAGCTACTCAGGAGGCTGAGGCAGGAGAATTGCTTGAACCTGGGAGGTGGAGGTTGCAGTGAGCCGAGATTGCATCACTGCGTTCCAGCCTGGGCGACATACCTAGACTCCATCTCAAAAAAACAAACAAAAAAATAGAGGTGCCAGACACTAAGTTAATTCTCTCCTAGATCAGGAAAGAGACCTGGAAAGGGAAGAGAATTCTCTACAGAATATAGATTTTTTTTTCCCTACAAGCAACAGCTTTGCTTGGCCATTTCAAAATATGTCAAAGAAATATATTTTGGAGTAAAATACTTTGACTTCTTTATTTTTATTTTTTTATTTCGTTTGGAGTCTTACGCTGTTACCCAGGCTGGAGTACAGTGGTGCCATCTCAGCTCACTGCAACCTCTGTCTCCTGGGTTCAAGCTATTTTCTTGCCTCAGCCTCCTGAGTAGCTAGGATTACAGGTGTGCACCACCATGCCCAGCCAATTTTTGTATTTTTTAATAGAGACAGGGTTTCACCTTGTTACTCAGGCTGGTCTTGAACTCTGTGACTTGTGCAGAAGTTATTTTAATTTCAAAATTAAAATATTAACAAGTGTCATTTCTATATGCACCAGCTTTGTTTTAAGTGTTTACATTGTCTTTTTACACATTGTCTTTTAAAATCTTCACAATAACCTTTGAGAAAGATACTCTTTTACCCTCATTTGACATGAGGGAAATGAGATCTTAAGAGGTTAAAGGATGCTTAATAACGTATATCTTGTAAGAGCTGGAATCAAGTACTGTGCCTCCCAAATAAAGATACTGGGAGGAGGAAATGTGGGCAGAGAATCTGAGAAGTAAAGGGGATGAGGACCAAAAGAGATGGGCTGTCTTTTTCTCATGGGTGGTGTTTTAAGGTTCTCCAGAGGGACAGAACTAATAAAATAGATGAATGCGTGAAGGGGAGTTTATTAAGGAGAATTGACTAACATGATCACAAGGTGAAGTCCCACAATAGATTATCTGCAAGCTGAGGAGCAACAAAGCCAGTCCCAGTCCCAGTACTTCAAAAGTAGGAAAGCCAACAGTGTACCCTCAGTCTATGGCTGAAGGCCTACAGCCCCTGGCAAACTGCTGGTCTAAGAGTCCAAAAGCTGAAGAACCTGGATTCTGATGTTTGAGGGCAGGAAGCATCCAGCTTAGGAGACAGATGAAGGCCAGAAGACTCAGCAATTCTGCTCTTTCCACCTTCTTCTTCCTGCTTTATTCTAGCTGCGCTGGCAGCTGATTAGATGGTGCCCACCCAGATTAAGGGTGGGTCTGCCTCTTCTAGTCCACTGACTCAAAATGTTAATCTCTTTTGGCAGCACCCTCACAGACACACCCAGGAACAATATTTTGCATGCTTCAGTTCAATCAGGTTGACACTCAGTGTTAACCATCACACATGGAAAGCGAGTGGGGCAGGTAGGGATGCATGTGGCTCTTTTTGGAACTAGGCTGGTGTCTTTGAGGCTTCCTAATTAATGTCGTCCATTGCTTGCATTAGTGCACAGTGTGACTCAACCATGCCATGCAGACACCCACTTTGAAGGTGTGTGGCTTAGAAAAGAAAAAGTTTCTCGAAGTCTGCCAGTTTTAAAATTCGTAAAATGAGAGGTTGGATTAGGTGATCTGTAAAATCTTTTTCAGAACTGGCACCTTGTAATTTACAGGAGTTGTTGAAGATGGATAGAATAGATTCCAAAGCTAAGATTTGAAACTTAAACTAAATTTGAAATTTAAGATTGGCATTTTAGGCCAGGTGCAGTGGTTCATGCCGTAATCCTAGCACTTTGGGCGATCAAAGTGGGAGGATTGCTTGAGCCCAGGGGTTGGAGGGTAGCCTGGGCAACATGGTGAAAACCTATCTCAAGAGAAAATACAAAAATTAACCGGGCATGGTGGTATGCATCTGTATTCCCAGCTACCCAGGATGCTGAGGTGCGAGGATCAGTTGAGCCCGGGAAGCAGAGGTTGCGGTGAGCTGAGATTGCATCACTGCACTCCAGCCTGGGCGACAAAGTGAGACCGTGATTCAAAAAATTAAAAAATTGAATTTTATGATGTTTTGCCCTCCTTTCTCTGTTTTTGAAATTTTTAAAAAATCATTTTCTTGTCTCTTTAGGAATATTACTGTATTTTAGTTAGGTATTAGACAACATTTTTATAGCAAAACTATCACACCAACACAAACCTATCTTCTTTCTTTTTCTCTAGGCCCTGCAGGAGCAGCTAAAGATGTGTAAGTATTTAATATTAATGATTTTTTAAGCTCTTTTTCTGAGGAAGTTGCTTTTTTTTTTCGTGATTATGACCTTTAGATCTCTGTGGGTATGGCTGAAAAGACATGAAAATGCTTTTTGTATAATGCACATGTGAAGATGATCATTTGGTTTGTAACTAAAGTGCTATTTGGAGAATATTCTTTGTGCTTTTCATTTTAGCCTTTTAGTTGCCTGGGCACTTTAACTCAGGATCTTAAGAAGGGGAAATGTTGAATTGTGTTTCCATCCCAACTTGTGTAGTGATTATAGGAGAATTAAGCACGTAGCTTCTATGACTGTGCAGTGTTTTAGAGTTAGCCAGGGAGAAAAGGCTGGGGCCAAGCAGTTACCCAGTGCACATTGAGTTGTTTTAAAGTTGATAACTAGATATTCAAGTGAATATATAGGGCTGTTCAACACAGTCACATTGAGCTATCTTTAGAGCATAGGACATTTAATCATGGGCATTTCCCTTATGCCCAGGGTTCTGGAGCTCAGGAATATTCAGTATTTCCATGCCCCTTCTCTCTGCATCATCCTTTTCTAAGATAGCTATCTTGAGGACATCGCAGCAGTTCCCTCTTTTAAGAGTGTTTGTGGTTACCCAGTGGAGGGTGGGATCAACTCTCCCACCCAAAACTGGGTTGGATATCAAGACTGATTCACCACACCCTAGGAGGGTGTGAAAAGATGTATTACTCACATGAGCCTTTCTGGGGAGAGCAGGGCAGCCATCCAGATGGGTCTGTTCAGCTCGAGTGAAGGAAAGGATATGAGTGATTTTGGTTGGAGAGTGGGCTGGGGTGAGGCTGCTTATGAATGGGCAGAGGTTTGATTTTCCTGCTGGCACAGGAAAGAAGTGCCCCTCCTTTCTTACTGGCTTATACAGATGTGTGGCAAAAGGGGAGTTATGGGGCTCAAAAGCTGTCAATGGTCAAATATCAAAAATAGGTCCAGGCCTGGTGGCTCACGCCGATAATCCCAGCATTTTGGGAGGCTGAGGAGGGTGGATTACTTGAGGTCAAGAGTTCAAGACCAGCCTGGCCAGCATAGTAAAACCCTGTCTCTACTAAAAATACAAAAAATTAGCCAGATGTGGTGGTGGGCACCTGTAATCCCAGCTAGTTGGAAGGCTGAGACAGGAGAATTGCTTGAACCCGGAAGGTGGAGGTTGCAGTGAGCTGAGATTGCACCCACTGTACTCCAGCCTGGGTGACAGAGCCAGACTGTATCTAAAATGAAAAAATAAATAAATAAATAAATAAATAAGAGCCAGACTTTCTTATTTCTTATCACAAAAAAATTTAGAGAAGATGAGAATGGGGTCGTAAAGCTTTCTGGGAATTAAATATGCATTTTTAAAATCAGGACTTTAGATACAAAGGAAGTAGTAATCAGTTGCTTCTAACTCCTGGTTACAGTGTTGTAGCTTATTACCCAAACATTTAGCAATAGTAAGTTGTGCACTCTGACTTTATTCCTATTATTGCAATATTTTTGTCTCTCCTTCAGTAGCTCCCTTCAATTTCTATATGTGTTGCCAGATTAATTTTCGTCAAGCACCGCCCTGCACTGGTATAGGACCTCTGCTCAAAACCTTTCAATTATTCCCCATTGTCCACTAGACTGAACCCAGGATTTATTAGGAATAGGAAGAGCATTTATGTTTTAGCATCAAACCAACTGGCTTACATGGTATGGGAGGAGATGCTGCAGTGAGTAGTGAGCCGAGCTCAGGACCAGGAGGGCAGTGCAGAGCTGCTCTAGGCCACTGTTCTCACGGGGCTCCTGCTACATCATGTTTCCTGCTCCTGTCCTTGTGTTTTGCTGTGCCCACTGCCTGGAAAGGCCCTTTCCCTTTCTGTTTATAGAAATGCCATCTGTTCTGTAGGGCTTGTGTGTCATCCTTCGTGAGAAGTATTTCCTGGATGTCTCAGCTGCATAGTGTGTCTTTCTCCTCAGAACCTTCACAGCATTTTGGACCTTTTTGTGATGCATCATTTTGGGTTTATATTGTAGTTCTTCACGTTCTTGTCTTCTTTTCCTTGGGGATTAAGGATTAAGAGTGGGGAAATGTCTTACTCTTTTTTTTTTTTTGTATTTTTTTTATTGCATTTTAGGTTTTGGGGTACATGTGAAGAAAATGCAAGATTGTTGCGTAGGTACACACATGGCAGTGTGATTTGCTGCCTTCCTTCCCATCACCTGTATCTGGCATTTCACCCCATTCTATCTCTCCCCAACTCCCCACCCCTTGCTGTCCCTCTGTCTTACTCATTTTATAGTGCTCTAGAGTTATTCATATCATGCTTTGATCATAGTTTGTGTTGAATAAATAGTTGTTGAATCAATTCCATCATTTCTCTTCAAGGACAGAGTGATTTCATGACATCTTTCTTTTTGTAATGAAATTTAGTGATGATTTTGTCAGCAGAATTAACTGTTCCAGGATGTCAGATGCCATTTAACTACTTAACTATTTCACTCTTTTAAATTCTGAATTCTTCAGATTTAGGTTTTCTATGACTATACCTCATTCTGTGTCCTATAACTTTAAAATAAAGTAATTTTATTAAATACATGACCGTTTAAAAATAAATGCAGTAAATTTAACCAGAAAAAGTTAAGGAATGTTATAATATTACTTTTCCTTAGACAAAAAATGTATTCAAACACATTCAATTTTTTTAAGTGGAAGCTATAGATTTATATGTCTTGACTATAATATTAGGTGATACCGTGATTGAATGACAAGCTAAGAAATTAAGATGACTTAAATTTTTTATTATGCCCATTAAAATAAAAAAAAAAAATCTAAACAGACTGATGCCAAACCAGAAGAATTGGCCAAAGTAATATAATAAGTACTGAGAGTAAGGAACTTTGAATAGGGCAGCCACAATATTACACAGACCACAGACAAGTCTTTGTAGGAAAATGGTAGTTATTTTTGGAAGCCAGAAATACTTTAATTACTCCCTTACTATATATTAAAAAAAATCAGTTCTCTAGGAAAGGTCTGCAATTTTTACTCCTCCCCCTTTTTACGTATTTATTTGCTATTTTCTATAGCTGAGAAGTTGGTATATGATAACAAATAAAATGATGTATTTGTCCTGAAGTAGATCGCACTCTACTAGGGACCAAAATACGGTGTGATAATTGCTAATTATTACAATATTCAGAATTTAATTCTGGCCTGGGCATTGAAGGATGAACAAGAGTTCATGCAGAAAAGGGGGAAAATGGCAATCCAGGGCAGAGGACAAGCATGAAAAAAGACATGGGAGTGCAAGAGGACAGTAGGTCTGGGAACGGCCAGCCAGGTGGTATCTCCTGGAGCCTGTGGTACAGTCTGGGCAGAAGTGAAAGATGAGGTTGATGGCCAGGACTGGCTTGTGAAGGGCCTTGGGTGCAAGGCCAATAATTGTGCTTTTTTTTGTTTTGTTTTTTAATGCATTCAAGGGCCAATAGAGATTTTAAGGTGGAGGAATTAAATGATTATGTTTGAGTTTTAGGGCAGTAACTCCCAAAGCAGTGTGACAGATGGGATGAGGGAGGGTGGAGGTATAGAGGAATAATGGAAGTGAGGCTACAAGAGGGTCAGATGGCAGAGGGAAAGGAGGTGATGCATACAAGGTGCATTAGTAAATACAATTAGTAAGATGTGTTTAATGACTGAATGGGGAAGGAAAGGAAAGGAAATTCTAAGGTTAGTGCTGCAGTCAAACTTGAGCCAAAGGAAGGGATGGCCGATAGTCCAAAGAGGTCACTGGGGCCGAAGGTGGAAGGGAAGTCTTCGCTTGTTTCATCATAGTCACATTGGTCACCCTGGGGACTGTAGTTTCAGTTGAGCAGTGTGAATGACAACAAGTCAAAGTGGAAGTGAGCCAGGTGTGAGGAAGTGGAGAGAGTGATGTGGGTCTTTCATTTTATGCTGTTTGGCAGTAAGGAGTGGAGAGATGTTGGTGGCTTTAAGAAGAGGCGAATTTTCAACTGTATATTGTGTTATAAAAAAGAATACCAGGGAAATTTGGAAAGTACAGGAAAGCATTTTTTAAGAGAAAAATTCAGTTATTATTCTGCCACCAGAGACAATCATTATGAACATTTTATACTTTTCTTCAAGTGTTTTTGGTTATTTTTTTCTGCCCAATGGTGAGTATGGTTGATTTTGTGGATTGAAGTTTGTTTTTCCTTTTGTTTTTTTTTTTTTAAATTGTTTTTTGACATGGAGGACGCATGGATATTATATTCCTGTAGGCTAAAAGGCAGGAACCAGGAGAGTAAGAAAAGTTGATGGTGGTTTGGGGAGGAGGTTTTCCTGTGGTGACAGAGAGAATAATGATGCAAGTAGATCCTACAACAGACTAGAGAACTCAAAACCTAGCTAGGTTAACCTTCAGAATTTGAAGGCATGGTTAACAATGTCTAGAAATTTGATCACCATAAGGAGAAGCCTACATGCATATCAGAAAATGAGCCTTTCTTTTCCTCTCTGTCTCTTTGAAATCAACACACTGAACAAAACAAACAAACAAAAACAGAAGTGAATTCAAGGTGATGCCATTTGGCTGCTTTCACAGACCTGCAAACATCAACCATGTTTTTATTTTAGTGTAGCAGATTCTTAGCTATTTGACACAAATAGGCTGTGTTGCGATATTTTTGGTAGGATATGGCAGAAACCCAGTTTAAACTGGTCTAAACAAACAAACACAAAGGAATTTATTGGCATGTGTAGTGGAAAAGCTCCAGGGACTTGGCTTCAGTCACAGCCGGATCCAGGTGATTGAACGACGACAAGAAACTGTCTTCTTTGGTTTCCTCTCCATTCTTAGGCAGCTTTCCCCAAGTGGTGACAAACAGGACCAGTTTATATCTTATCCGCTTCGTAATTCCTGTGGAAAAAAATAGCTTATTTTTCCTTGTAGTTTAATCAAAAGTCCTAGGGATGGGCTTTCACTGGCCAGTTGGG